CCCTCGAGGCCTCTTCGATGTTTCCAGAAGCTTCCGTCACCTTTGCAGTATGCGCAGGGACACCCCCCTTCACAAAATCCTCGTAGCCATCCTCATCATCGCTCATGCCGCTTGACGACAATGACGATGGCGGAGTGGGGGATACCGGAGGTGATGTCATCAGCTCATCCGTATCCATTTTGGCTTGTTCTGCCGACAGTGTTGAGCCGCCGTTTGATTGTGTGGCGCTCACCGTCGCGACAATATTCAGCTTACTGATCGGCTGTAGTAAGGCCACATCGGCTGGGATCTCTTCTCGCTTAGCCTTAGCCTTTCTTTTGCCTTTCTCTTCCCCCTTCACATGAGCGACTCCCACTGAGTTGGATGGGACATCGACTCTCTTGCCTTTCACAAAGGTCGAGTTGCGCATCAATCCTTGGCTTCGATCCTTTGCCCTTTTGGGACAGTCGACCTTGTAGTGAGATTCACCATTCCGGTAGTACCGACCATCACAGTAGTAGCACTCGCCCCCTTTCTTCTTCTTGGGCTCGTCTACTCGTGCCTTGCGCTTGCCCAACGGCTTGTTGGATGCCGCATAGTTTACTGGAGCCGTCTGAGCTTGCATAGCGTCAATTTGGCCCCGGCTCTTATCCATGAAAACATTGCGTAGCAGCGCTTCGACCTTATCCAGGTGAAACCCCTCGTTGCTGTAATCCACATGGTCCCCCCAGTATTGGGTTGGGAACAGTGACAGGACCTTCACGGCCGCATACTGATTGGGTATCATCGTCACACCTTTCAGGTTCTCCCGTGACTGCCGATTAATGCGGTTTCGTGTCTCCTTTACACGAACAATGAGTTCTCCCACCAAAGCGAAGTCCATCGCCAGTGCCTCATCAAACTCCGTAATCAGTGCAACCATTCCCTGGGCATTGGACTGCCCATAGTGAGCCTCAAGTCGCTTCCATGCAACCGGCAAGTCCTCGTCGTTAAACAAAACTCTTAGCGACTCCAAATACCCTCGCGGTAAAGTTTGACCTAGCAAGCTACGGATGTAGCTGTCCTGATCACAAAGGACCACCATTTGCCAATCATAGTTGCGCTTCTTTTCTGGGTCCTCGTCGTACTCCATTGGACGAGGTACCTCGCAGCTGGTTACCAGTAATTCCTCGTACTTAAACGCTGGTTTTTCCTGACCTTTTAGCATCGCTTCGCGAGTTAGTGCCGTACGCTTTTGACGCAAGTGACCGATGATTAGGTCCTTCCATACACCGAACTGCCGCACGTCTTTTGAAAAGACGAGCCTGTTCACTGTCTTGCTTTCCCTGTTGCTAGTCATTCCGACTTGCTCTAGTGCCCTTTACTTGAAATGTTAAATCAAATGTAAGCTTATAGGTCTATTAATTCCTTAATTGACCCCAATTCCTCAACCTATTGCTATTCTTACAGTTGTGCTCAGACTGAAGCAAAAGAGGAAGTGAGGAGCTAGTCCTCTCTTCCTACCCACCATACTTCCTCTCCTCATCGCACTTAGTGTGTGCCTTGATTATAGAGGGGCTCCTCTACCAATCACCGGTCAGAGTACCGTTGACTACATAGACACTTCAATAGGCATAGTAGAGCCCATAAACTTTATATTAATATGTCTCACCCGGTACTACCCAGCCCATACGGGGATTGCCTGTCGCATCCCCTTGGTGCTAGCTCCAGTGCCGGCAAGGGCGGAGAAGCGTCACGAGGGCAACGTTTCAGAATAGCAGCACGTAAGTCCTTCTTGTCCGTGATGTCAGCTCCGGTGGCAGCTAGGAAGTCCTCCGCCTGCCGGTACTGTTTCTCAAGAGTGTTAATCTTCTCGCGAACACCAGCACTATCACGATGCTTGATGCCAGCAGCCTCCAACCTGCGTTTTTTTAGCTTCAGCAGGGCTTCCTTCGTCTGGCCGTTGGTTCTATCACTCCCGCGCCACTTGTCGTAGTTCGATGGGTCTGAAAGCCAATCTAGCACCACTCGTAAAAAGGATTTACCACCGTCGACGCCATCGGGGTCCCAAAACGTTGGAGTGCTCTTTCCCGCTCGTGTCGTTTCGCGAACCAGCTCGGCCATAGCTGCCTGATCATCCTCTACCATGCCAGTGTGAGCCACTTTCTTTGCTTCTCCTGTCCTCGTGAAGTCTACCTTGCGTTTCATCTCAATCTGTTTCAATGGCCTCCGTCAGACCCTTGAGTCCAAAAGAGGTCTTGAAAGAAAATCGCTAGGGTAAGATCTCTTGGAGTCCAAAAAAACATTTTGCTAACGAAATCCAACTGATATCAGTTGCAACGAGAGCAGCATATCCTTCGTCGTGCTGTAGTACTTTTATCTCTTGGATACAAGAGTGTGTAAGTTTGTTCACTTGGACATAAGTGCTTGACATTCTGAAGCAGCAACTTGCAACACAAGTTAAAGTGCGCAGCCATTCTGATCAACCCTATTTGTCTTTAACTCCATACGTGTCTATCACTTAGTTTTCTTTCATAGTTTATATCTACTTAAATTGGGTAGGCACTCAAAAGCTTTTTCAAGAACACGCCGTCCTTCAGGGGCATTTGAGAAGTGCTACGCTGAGCGGCGTCTCATCCCAACCAGTATTGTCAGAGAACCTAGGGCGAGATCCTTGAGTTGGCTCCACGTGATGAGGTCCTGGAACTCACCAGCCTCTTCCGTGTATTTCACTGTCGTGTTGTCATAAATGTGATTGTTGTAGTACGCCACATTTAGGCTAGTTCCATCCAAGTACTTCCCCGGAGGCGGAGATTCTTTCGCCCAGCCAACCGCAGCTGACAAGGACACTCCTAGAATGGTTACGCTGTCCACGTTAGGTCTGTCTTGCCACACAATGGCGTACTCCCAGCCGTCGATGTGGCCGAGGAAACAAAGCGGCACGTGCCTTAGGGAAAGGCGTACATAATTACCCACTTGTCTTTTGTTGCTTAGCTTGAAGACTGTTGATAGACTCACTACGTGTGTAGTTAACTCTGTTATCCTTATTGAGACAATGAGCTCAGTCTGAGGCAAATTGGTGAAGTGAGCATGCCTCCGCGCTGCGCGCGGGGCGGCTTCACGTTCCTTTGCCTGCTGTCGTCATCGCACTATGTACCCAGATCACACCATCTGTGATTTGCACTGAATGCCCTCTCGTATTTGATAACGATAGGTACACATCACTTTCGAAAGGATGTTCTCTCATTCAGTTATTGCTTTCGTTAAGAGACAAGTATGTTTCCTGCTGTCCTCCTCTCAACACTTTCACTAAGTACTAGGGGACAGATTCAGATCTCGAACTCCTAGCTTCTCTCTTGGCTTTACAAATTGTTTTGTTGGAAGAGCTTTTGTTAGAATGTCTGCTGTCATCTTTTAGTTGCGTAATATGCTATTTTGGAACGACCCGGTTCAACGAGATCCCTCGTGAAAAGAAAGCGGATTTTAATGTGCTTATTTGTTTTGTGGTTTCCTGGGTTTTTTACATTGCTTATGGCTGCGTTGCTGTCGCACCACATTTGCACTGGTACCCGTTGCGAAAATCCCATTTTACCTAGCCGAATTTGCTGACTCCCCCTCGGATGCAGTAATTGCCTTGAACCACTCCTTGTTCTCGTCTTCGCTGTCTCCATCGTTGACATCGTCACCTTCTCGACGTTGTCGCTTGCCTTGAGCTTCACTGTGTGCAAGTCTCGCCTTCAAATTAGCATCTCGAGTGAGATGACACGCTCGAGTATTCAGCGTAGACAGTCCGGCATGCAACGCAATACACAGCGACGGCGGATCGTGCATCCCATACACGTCATTGAATGCCTTACAGAACATTTTCTCCAGTGTCAGCCATCTGTCCCCCAATGAGTACGGTTGTAGCAAGATATAAACCTACTGGGTTCTTTAGCTGCGTTAGCAATGTCCGGTCGGGTCCCACGGACGAAATACTGCAAAGAGCCAACGATCCCTCTGTAGTCAAAGGGTTGAGCAGCAATTTCTACTGAAATTATCTTTGTTTCTGGTTCTAGAGTAAGACTAGGTACTTGTGGTTTTATTACCGGTAAGCAGTTGACCCTATTAAACTTTGTGATGAGCTCTACAATGTACGTTCGCTGGAAGATCTTCATCACACGCTGGTGCCTATTGCGGTGAGCTTCCTTTTTAAGGATATAGTGAATATAACTAGGATCCTACATTTTTAACCGTTTTTGATAGTTCGGGTTTTAGCCTGTTGATAAGACCAAAGTCGCGTGACATGATTGTCAGGTCATCAACGTATACCACAACTATGAGCCATTCGTTTCCCACATTTTGCACGTAGATACGAAACCTTTGTGACGACGTACAAACCCATTGATACTAAAAAGGTATAAAGGACTCTATACCAAATTCTCTGAGCTTGTTTGAGACAGTAGATGCTCTTGAGAAGCTCACAGACCAAATGCTCTTGACCGTGCTTCCTAAAAACGTGAGGTTGCCTCATATAAATATGTTGCTCTCTTTCCATAGTGCCATTTAAGAACGCTGATCCATTTAATGGATATGACAGTCCAGTATGGTTCCAATTGCTAGAGCTAAACGAAGTGACTCAAACCGCGCTACTGGGGCATATACCTCATCGCAGTCGATCCCGAATTCTTGGTGGCTACCTTGCGCAACAAGGCGTGCTTTGAATAGCTCAACTGTTCCGTCGGCGTCGTACTTTACTACAAGTACCCAATGATATGGCAAAACGTTACGTCCTGGTGGCAGTGGTACAAGTCTCCACGTTCCATTTTCGATCAAGGACTCGTATTCTAGCTCAAGCGCTTTTCTCCATTGTTCGCTATGAGGTCCACTCAAAGCTTCCTTAAGTGTACGTGGGTTTGGCACTTTGTGCTCCAGTATATCATGTCCAATACTGTTATCTACCGGAAACGTGGATAATCTTGGTATCTCTTTGGTTTATTTTTTTACGCCGCGGGCGTGGCTTACTGCTTAGTGGTGCCTTCCCAAGCCCCGCGCGTTTGCGTTTATTCTTCTCTCCCACTGATGTGGTAGTTGTCTGAGGAGGGGATGATGTGGCTCCCACTATCTCAGTAGAGCCAGTAACGATTGAATCAGTCTCAACTTCCTCCGTATTCTCCTTTGAGAGTGCTTTTGTTTCTTCGATCGCAGCTGTATCTGATGTTGCAGATTCCGTGGTGGGAGTGGCATCAGCTTTTCCGAAAGCTCTTTGAACCAAGGAGGCTACATTGTTGGAGTCAAACAAGACATCTCTGGATATAAACAGTTTGCTATTGTAGGGCTGCAATTTGACCGCATTGCACAATTGCTGTCTCTCTTTGACTGTTTTATTCTGTACGTAGAATGCGCCATTGATTGCTCGAGCCACAAACGTTAGCTCGCTGTTCGCAAAACAAATTTGAACTCACCAGTTTGTAATCAAATTATTTCGTACCCATTTCGCTGTAGCCAGTATTCGCTAAGAATGTTTGACGTTGCATGTGGCACAAGTGCAATATTCTCAAAAAGGAATGGCTGTATCCCTTGTGGGTCATGCAAGTACAGTTTAACTGCTCCCATGTTTGCATTAGAATGCTTAGACCCTTGTCCAAACGTAAACATGTATCGGGTGTTGGGAAGCATCTCGACGAACTTCGACTCCTCATCGGTCAGGCCGAATCGGCAGCCTGAGTCCAACACCCACGAGTCTCTGGTTATACATGTTCCTGCATCAAGTAAATTACGATACGAAGACCGTATCGTATCCTCCAGCTGTATCTTCTGCAGACTGATTTGGTCTGCAATCAGCTGTTCGCCTGGCGACTGCAGCGTTTGATTTTCGTCGACGCACCCACCGTTAAAGCCAATTGACATCACAACATCCATCAAATCGACCGTTTCGTGTGCGTCGAACATGATCTGGTCGCGGACAGGACTTGGTAGAAATTCCATTCTGTTGGGAGGGCTGGCTGAGGGCACTGGCCTCGTGGACGAATTCATGTGCACGGCGTTACACGCATTCACTGATACGCCGTCGACAGACAGTCCTCTGTCGGAACAGCTGTCCTCTGTGTGTCATTTCCCTTCGCATTCGAGTTGGACTTGCCCTTTCCTGTCTTTGACATCGGCTCTTGGTGACCGCGTGCCTTCTTTACCGAACGAGGGTACGACCAGATGTTGCGTCGGAAAACCTGGAGTTTCAGATCTTGTTTTCTCTTGGTGCAGTGCTGCTTGAAGTGCTGCCCACCTTTGAATGTCGTTGTGCACTCCAGCACAATAGAAGCACGACATGATGTCGGTATTTTCTTGCGTCGGCGCGGGAGTAGACTTCCTTTTCCCCAAGGCCGATCCTGTGGTTTTAGCAGATTTGGCGGGTTTTGCATCGACACGATTTACGGATGCCCCGTTGCCCAAAACCTTCATTTGAGCCTTGCGCTTTCTCCCAGAAATCGCGCAGAGCTTCGACCCCACCTTATCCAGTGTGAAATCCTCCTGTGTAAACACGGTTGCTGAGTCCTAAAGATATGCAGGCAGTACCGCCAAAATCTTGATCAGCAATTTCTGCTGCGAGATCAGTCCGACCTTCAACGCGTCAGCGCTGTTACGGTCCACCTGCTCTCTAGCAGCCTTAAGTAGCTGAAAGAGGCGGGAAACGCTCTCGAAGTCGGAGGATGGAATCATTTCGAAACGCGGCACTAACTCGACAACCCCCGATGCCGTTTTCAGTCCACAGCGTTTTTCTATGGCACGCCAAATCTCATGAACCGGCCTCGTCATCAACCTCTTATCCGCGAGGAAGGGTTAGGCTGAGCAAATTCGTGATTAAAGAAGCTTGTTGCCTGACAAACGCCCTTTGAAGCGCGTACGCATCCCTTTCTGCCTCTTGTCCTGGCCCTGGTAGGGCAGGCTCTCTCTCGATTGCATCCTCATAGCGTGCGACAGGAGATCGACGCTTCGCCTGAAGCTCGATGACGACTAGCGCGTCGCTGAGCGTGACCAGATGAACCTTCACCTTGTCTCTCCATCCGGCGAACAAAGCCTTCTTGTCATGGAAGACCAGCTTATCAGCCACAGTTTGGCTCGGTTTGCTTATCTTGCCCATCTTACTTGAAAGCACTGTACACAGCCTCATTACGTGTGTATTTAACTCTTTTATTCATAATTGCCCTTATCTAGACGATGTGCTCAGTCTGAGACAAATTAATGAAGTGAGCATGCCTTCGCACTGCATGCAGGGCGGCTTCACCTGCTGTCGTCATCGCACTATGTACCCAGATCACACCATCTGCGATCTGCACTGAATGTCCTCTCGTACTTGATAATGATAGGTACTCATCACTTTCGAAAGGATGTTCTCTCATTCAGTATTTCCTCTCTTTAAGAGACAAGCAGGTTTCTTGCTGTCCCTCCGCTCAACATCTTTGCCCCACGTTGTTCGAGCGTAGACTTTAGAGCCCAATGGCGTGCCCTTGCATTCCCCGTCCCGCGGGCCGCTTCAGCTGAGGCCACTGCTGATAGCACCGTCCTTTTGCACTGCTGGGTATGGGTGACAGTCGTCCTCAATCTTGATTTGCAAAAACATACATGTTTTCATGTTTCTATGTTTTCATGACTTCACCATGCTCTGACATGAGTATCTCTCATTACAAAAGGTAGTTTGGCTATGCAATACAGTAGCTGAGAAATATCCGACAACGCCAAAGCGCACTCTTTCTTCAATTTTCACACCCTACTGTGAATATGGTTGCCCATGTCACGTTATGTCACGCCATATCTCAAACATGTTCAGCATAAATTTCACGCTCCTCGTAATTTATTTTTTAGAATCATGGACAAAACTTAGCGATACATGACAAAAGTCCATGATTTGGCCACCTAGCCTTTTTAGAAAACATGGGCTGTAGCATCCGCCATTATTAATACCCTTTTTTTAACACACACAACACAAAGCACTACTTAAACTGGGAGGGTGGTGGATCGCTCACGCCTGCGTGTTTACATGAAACAAACTCATAGACAGTAGAGAAGTTTTGCTCTCAGCTGAGAGGTTGGACCAAGTTGTCATCCATCTGGCGGAGCATGTAGGTCATCAGCTTAAATACCTGTTGTCAGCTCTCTTTTACACTCTAGTTTAAATCTGCTGAAGGTATTTTTATTTGTGTTGGGTCGTCCTCTACAAACGATTGAGCGGCACAAATCACGAGACAAACTAATCGGAAGACTCGATTTGTCGTACGAATTACAATCGAAGGTGCCAAAAAGTCTGCAAAGCACAATACGTCCTTCCGAATATGATACCCCGGCCAATTCGAGCTTCAAAAAAGAGAAGTCCAGCACCAATTACTATGGTGAGTGAGTCTACGATAGATACCGATCAAGTTGCAGCAGACAACGCAATCTCATCTGCACGACTTTCTTCTATTCCATCCGACTGATTCATTCAGCGTCATGTTTACAGTTAATGGCCGGCGAATTCAGCAAAATAGGAAGCCAAGGCGAAGCATGAGGTCTTTGATGTTGAGAGATCAATAGCGCACAGCATGACGTTGGGATTAATTGACGATTAACCTGAGGAAGTAAATGCGAAATAAAATCTTCCTAGAGGTATGTACGTCTGAGCTGAAAAATCTAGGTCATTCAAGAAATGCCTGAATACAAGTCCTTATATACTGTTAAAAGTCATCTCGCCAAAATCGCTCAAATTTTAGGGGGATACTAGGAGCTTAAGCCCGGATATACTATTTTAATAATCCATTGTGCTACCTCTGTATCTATTTCGACGTGCGGCTTTCCAAAAATTGTTCATTTAAATGATCTGATCAGTCACAGGCGATGTATGCACACTGACTGCTTACACACTAATGCCGTGCTAAGCCCGGTGAAGCTCTGGATATTACGGTATTTTCAAAAAGTAATAGCTAGTGCGGAATGAAGGACTTTTTAGAAGAAAAAAAAGGAGAAGAATTGCGATATAAGTAAGACTTCCAGTCTAGAAGAAGACATCAACAACCGAGCGAGAATGATAGTCATTCATTTGAGTGGCTATCCCCGAACTTCGAAACTTATAAACAAGTTGGTACCCTAACTTAAGAAAATACTGTATTTTAAAGAAGACCTGTAGCAATTTTTCCACAGCATTATGGTTTCTTAATCTGTTCGATTCTCAATTGCATGAAGTCTTTGGGTTTCTGCCAGCGCATCACGACTTGGAGTAAAATACTCCAAAAACGCTTTCGTAAGGGGGGCCATGAGATACAACTGCGATAACGTTTTCACTCGAGTGACGGCGACGTAGAAAGATGAGCGCTGAGGAATCCTGCGAGTCGGATGACGAAGCGGAGCAAGAATCATTTTCTCTACTGTCAGTTCTTGGCACTTCTCAGTGGTCAATGAGTACGCCAGCACAAGAGAAACTTGGCAAATTGAGATAGAGAATGAGCGATCTGGCAGCCGAATTCGAACACCACATTCTGTCCTTTTGCATACAGGAGTGATACCAAGTGGTAACGTTTTCTTTCTCTGATGTGTGTGATGTGTGTGCGTGTGTGTATGTGTGTGTGTGTGTGTGTGTGCGTGCGTGTGTGTGAGTGTGTGTGAGAGGGAGGGGGGCTTACTTACGCGTTACGTCGTAAGGTTGATGTGTATGAGGATACAGCTTAGCCAAAATGAAGAAGCCGCGGTCGAACGTGCGTTGTCGTCCGACCTTGCTGTGACGCGAGACGGCCTCGATAGGAATCCGATTACACTGTTCACAGCATTTAGTGTTAGTGACTGAATAGTGTTAGTTTTCAATTAGAGTTAATAACATGCAGCGGCAGAGAGAGCAAAAATCAACACTAATTGCCGTCAAATTTGAGGGCGCTTTCATTGCTGTTTATTTCCCGACTCTTCAGGTCCTGAGTCGATGAGCTCTCCCAAACCATCTACAGCTCGACCTTCGCTGATTGTAGCGGCCATGCAGTGTGCTCAAGCTCTCGCGGACAAGCAGCAAGCTGATCGAGAGAGGTCTAGAACATTTGTCGCGTCGGAAGCCGAAGCTACCACTGCGAGCCATCCGCAGGAAGACCTCGGCGTCTTCTCAGAACCGTCAGCTCCAGTTGCTCAAAATGGTGGAAAATGCAAGCGCCAGCCGCAAAATGTCGCAACTAAAAGGGACAAACTGAAGGTGGTCAAGTGGATGATAGAGGCTGAAAAGCAAGAAAAGAAGCGCTTGTTCAAACGCACAATTGATCATTTCCCTGGTTTCTTTCGAGCATCCGACAGCGCCAATTACATGAAAGTATCTCTATCGCCCACAGACGCTGTTGGAGATACCGACATACTTCAAGACGATGTGCAGCTGACCCAAGAAGCTACAGTGTAAGTCTACAATAACCCTATTTTGTTGTACCTCATATACATGTAGTCTTAGTTTTCATTTAGTGTTATTAACACTAATTGATGTCATTGAAACTTGGAAGTCTCTCTCGTAATTAGTGTTAACAACTCTAAATGCTGTGATCAGTGTAGTATTCATCTATTCCCTTCTTTAAATCATGTAGCCTTCATGTACTGTACCACCCACCATTGGTGGTATCGTATATTGGAGCAACATCCACCTAAAACCAGATAGCGTGAACGCTGACCCAGGCGGCTTGGAACGACTTCACCAGTGCTTTTTATGCTTTACCGTAGTTTATTAGGTATTCCGTCCTTTTAGCCTATCACTTGCAAGCCACTATACTTTTAATAATTACAAACGTAGCACCCTAATATTTTATAGAGGATCGTCGACGGTTTCGATCGCCCCTAAAACTCTGGATATGAATATCCAGAGAACTGACCGTTTGCTGCAAGTATGAGATGGCTTGCTTGTGTAATAGGAAATGGCTGGGTCAACGATACCCGCGTAATACGTGAGTGCAGAAATGAATTTGATATTATCTAAGCTAAATGCTAACTGTAAGCTTATCAGATTAAACTATTATCAGAAAATGTTCTTGATGTCACCATCCTCTATGCATCGACAACGTGACATCCTGAAAGCTCGTCTCCAGCATTTTAAGAGTCTTACATGTATTGGCCCCTTTCAGCAAAAATATAACCTGGAACCTGAAAAAAAAAGTTCCAAGCTTTGTTTTTCCCATGCGTTCAGCAAATCTTCCCCTGGAGGTGCTGCGTGCTCTCCACAATCATTCTGGCTATATATTCTAAGAGGTCGCGGCCCATGAACGTCGGACTGCTGCTAATGCTTCTCTTGGAGGGGATTCCTCCTCCAGCTGGCATGGGCGGACAAGCAAGACACCTCATCCAGCAAGCGTACCAAGCAGAACTCGATGTGATAGCCGAAGTAGCAGCTCCAAAGGATCGGGAGATTCTCGCGAAGCAGCGCAGCTCACACTGGGCTAAGATGTTGTTCTCTTCGCGCATCTACTTCGATGGATCGATGAGTAACCTATTTCGCATGGATAGCTCTACAATTGGCGCTTTGATACGGACTGTGACCCCCCATCTCACAACAGGAAGAATGGAACCAGATGCTGTGTTGCCTCCAGTGAGAGTAGCTGTCTTCTTGTATCTATGTGCTCAGGGCACATCGCTGGAAGCCACAGCAGATCGTTTTGCCATTGGGCCATCTACAGTCTCCGGTATCGTGCGCGAGGTGTCGTCCATTGTATGCCAAGAGCTCACGGATTTAGTAGCTTTCCCCCCTTTGGTACAATGTGCTTCCCATTTTACTGAGTTGTGTGGTGTGCCACAGATTGTGGGCTGTATTGATGGATCACATATACCTATTGCTCGACCTAGCGATGATGGAGACATGTATTACAATCGAAAATGCTGGTATAGTGTAGTATTGCAAGCCGTTGTCGATTGGAGGGGGAGGTTTTGCGACCTGGATTGCAAGTGGCCAGGACGCGTAGGTGACAGTCGTGTGTTTCGCAACAGCACATTGGGTCGGGTGTTTCCCAGCGTCCTTGGCTCGACCACTTCTGTACACAGCGCGCCACGCGCGTACCAGAGCAAGGATCGTGATGTCGGTCCAGTTGCGCTTGAAGTCAGAGATCGCAGGCTCTAGAGCTCGCACAGACGCAGGTTCCGCAGAGCCCAGGGGCTCTGCCTCGGGCTCTCCGCTATCCATGCGCAGGCTGAAGGGGGGGGGGTGAAAATGAGTGCCACGGAGAATCTATCCAGTCTCACAAGTTCCACGTTTCAGGGACCTCTTCCGCTCCCTAAAACTTTGGCACTGAACCGAGGTTTACTTGGAACTTTTAGTGACTTTTTTTGCGGTTGGAGGAGAAAAAAGTGGTATGCTGAAAGTGTTTTCCCTCGAACCTAGAAAAAAACTTCCAGGTTAGAGGTTCCAACGTTTTGCTGAAAGGGGCCATTGTCCGTTTTACTCAAATTGTCCGCCTAATAGTCGATCTTAAACTGAGCAAATCATGCGACCAGGGTAATCTTATTCTGGGACGAGGTCTTTCTTATTCTGATGGAGAATTCTTCCTCACGGGACGGGGCCTTGCATTCTCCACACAAGAGTGTTCATTATCCGGTTGACGGCCTCCTGAGCAGTGCTTCCGCACACGTTACGACGGAGGTCAATTGAGGGGGAATGCAGCGCATGCTTATTCCAAGAGGGACTGTCGCCCGTATGGGTTAATTCCCCGCCGGATACTCAATCAAAAAGTAAGTACTTGCCACTCTATCTTTATGACCTGCTCGCGTTCTGACCTCCCTACAGTGTGGTTGTTTTGTGCTTAATGTAGACTACTGTTCATCTCCAATAATACATGTAGCTTGACTCATACCCGATTGCCCATTGATTGTTTTCCTATGGAGGTGTCGCTTCCTAGTCATTTGCGCTGCGAGCTGACGGTGAAAGCTGGGAGACCACTGGAGCGATGTCGCGATAAAGGCGTTGCTTTGTCGTTCGACATCGATGTATCTGAAGGGTACGGTGTGCTAAGGGCGAAAGTCAAGTCGGCTTTTGCTACAAAGGAGCGTCTATGCTGGAGCGACGATCTCGACGTGTACATCAGACTCGCCAAGAATGCACCACAAAAGGCCTTCGTAAAACTAGATCAAGATGGCTTCGAGCCGTCATTGCAAGCAGCGTGGCGCAATGCTCGGCTGCGCCGTGGTGGGCAGGTTGATTTTGTGCTCGATCTCTTTGTATATGTAGCGAAGCCTAAGAAGGCGCCAGCTACTACGCTTCATCGTGCGACCGAAAACCGTGTGCAACAAGTGATTCCGCGCGTACAAACAGCTCTACTAACGGCTAACGTACCATTCGGTCCTGCTACCCTACGCTACGCTGCTACGGCTCAAGCCAGATTACCGGATGGTGAAGACGTCCGCGTGCCAGACAACACAACATTCCGCCAGCTTCAGCACATCGACAGCCTGGAGCAACAAGCGGCAAGTTCGTCAAGAGAACCTGATGAGTTCGCCCCCATACAAGTCAAGATCAGCGACGCTACGGTGACACTGCGCATGCGAGTTCAAGACATCCGCCAGGCGCTCGGCTTGCCGATGTATCCATTGTGCCCTCCATTTCGACAAGCACCGGAATTTGTGCAGCCACCTGCACACGACATGGAAGATGTTGATCATCTACAAAGCGATGAAGAAAATGAACGAGACATTGCAGAATTTGCTGTATAGGATTACATCGATTAGTTACTGCGCAATATTCAATGCAGCTCCTAGATAACCGCAGTGTCGGTATAATCCGTAGCCAACTTGGTCATTTGCCTTGGTGCATTCGCGCAGCGCAGCACTTAGAACTTGAACCGGTGCTTCCTTGAATGCAAGACTTGCGTGCTTAATAATCCAGCGTTTTAAAAGCGAAAATCCCACTTCAATTGGGTTCAAATCTGGGGAGTATGGTGGTAACAAGAATAGCAGAGCTCCGGTCGAGTGTACCAAGTCTTGTAGCTCCGCGTACATATGGATCTTGGCATTATCAAGTATCACAATTGACCGTGGAAGCGGCCACGGATTCAGGTAAGGTGCAAGTTTCGTTGCAAATACCTGATGAAACTCTTTCCTAGTAAATGTGTCAAATGTGTGACCCCATGAGAAAAACCCGCTCACGTCCATTGCTACCAGCACGGAGACCCGCTGACCACGTGACGAAGGCAAACTGACAACGGCTGGCGTGCCTCGTTTTGACCACGCGTGCTTCCTTAAAACACTCCTGTACAACATTAAAAAATATGTTAAAAAACAATAGATATCAAACAACGAGTCGTTCTGCTATCGCACCTTCCGTCTTTGGATGTCTCGTCAACAAACACGAGCTGCTCGGGGCAACTGTAAAACGGCAGCAACCGACCGGCATACTCACGGCGCTCTCGCGGAGCTGACTCTCTTGCACGCTTAGTTAATCTTTTCCTTGTCAGATTAAGGTCGAACCGTAACGCGCGGCATATCGAAGCAGTTGACGTGCTCGTCACGTGCTCGAATTTGCGGCGAAGCTCGTCTTGAAGCTCTTCAATGTAGAAGCACGGATGTATTTCTACATATTTCTCCACGAATTGTATTACCTCACGTGGCCACTTGCTGCTGCGCTCTCGTGACGGTGCCTTCCGACACGGTGATCCTGTCTTGTCGAACTTCGTAATCCAGCGACGGACACTACGTTCGTGGCTTCCGAATATTGTGCCAACCATAGCGGCATCCATGCCGTATACATAGACCAGGACTACCGCTCTCCACCGCAAGTCGCCAGAGTAGGTCATCGCGTACGCTGCTAATCTCCGAATGGCCAGAAAATTCGTGGCAAACTGAGGATGCGAGTTTAATAGCGTTGTTTGAGCTAAAGAAGGAGAGCTCTGATTGGACGACCAAGAATGATGTTGCCTTAATCGTTGATAGACTTCAGTTAACCTGACGTCTCACACCTACACCTACTGCATGCTGCCGTTGTTACTCTCAGTGTAAGAGTCCGATTTGGACAATCCGACTGAAAGCCACAATAATTCTAGACCTTAAAGCTTCAATGGTCTCCATAACATTACAGCCAATCACATTCGCGATCTTGATTGACACGACAGTTCTTCACAAAAAAGACCACCAAGATCTGGAAAATGAGTACGATGGAGCTTATTACGCGCGTTCTGGCCCATGTACGTGCACGCGATGTAGTTCGTGAGCTTGTTCAATGCAACGCAGCTTCAACCTCCAAGAAATGGCGTCAGTACACTGAAAAGTCTGGATATCTCACCCCTGTATCTTGTTGTGGTATGAAGAGTCTACCGGTGCTGGTGGTGATTCTCATCGGCTATTGGATGGGGAGCGGACTCACAGCTTATGCGGTCAAAGACGGCGTGGTGACTGCTAGAGACACTTCGGGCTTTTTTTTTTCGTGGAGTCACGGAGACGCCCGGGTGTTCAATTGGCACCCGCTGCTCATGAGTTTCGGCTTCGTCTTCTGCTCGATGCAGGCGGCTCTGGCCTACATCTCGTTGCCTTTTAGCCATAAAGTTAACAAGGTGAGCAGAGAGAAGAGAAACGGACGTGTGTGTGTGAGGGTAGAATGTGACTAGATTTTGGTCTGTGTTGTGCAGCGTATCCACTTGTCGCTGCATGCTCTGGGCTTCCTGAGTGCGGTGCTGGGGGCTGTGGCTGTTTTCCGCTTCCACAACGAGCACAGCATCACCAATCTCTACAGTCTTCACAGTTGGCTCGGACTTGGCGTCTTGATCCTCTTCTCCGCGCACGTAAGTGTTGTTGTTTTATTTTTTACTGTAGACGAAAATGCTGCTTATTGACGCTTCTTTGTTCAGTGGTTGGGCAGCTTTATTGTGTTCTTCTATCCCGGCGCGGAGAAGAATGTTCGTGCGTCTATCGCTCCGTACCACATTGGGGTCGGACTGTCCATTGTGGGGCTTGTAGTCGCGACTATCGAAGCAGGTATCCTGGAGAAACTGGCGTTCAACGGCAGCTGCAACGTGAACGGCGAACTGAACGGCGAGCCTGTGAAGGGCTACATGGCGTCGGATTGCGTTCTGGGCAACGTCATTGGCTTGCTGGTGGCGCTGAGTCTCGTTGCGCTGGTTGTCACGATCTGGCACGCGAAGCACCAGGAACCGGTCAAGCAGGTGGGAGACGAAGCCACTCCGTTGTTGCTGGGCAGCTCGGGCGATGAAAGGACGGAGATCTCGGTCTGATTGTCTCCAAAAGGGGCAGAACACGCTGCTAAAATGAAGGAGTTTTCTGACGAATATCGCGATATTTCAAAGTCGTTTTGTTGCTCAGTTGAATTGAACGGCGTAATTTACCCCTAAGAGCAGCAGTGCGTTAATTAAAAAACAGAAAAACAGGTAGTTTTTGGTGAATTCAGCTTACCGTAGTGCATCAGTGGCATGTGCAGAATGAAGACGGTCCACACAAAGAGATGGCCTTGCACAGTGCGCATTTGGGTCTCCAGTACAAACGCGAGTTGGAAGAGTGGGGAGATTCCGAATTTCCGCTTGAGAAGAAACAGAAGCCCGACGAATCCTGTCATCTCGACGGCTCCGAACATCAAAATGTTGACGACGTCTTTCTTCAACTTGTCGGGTGTCGATGATGCTGTTTGTGGGTAGTAAGGGGCAGCTGGTAGCTCGAAAAGAATGGGGAGGTATATCGCGTACAGGAGGGGTAAAATGCACTCGATATACTCCGTCATGAGGAGATATTCGGAATGGAAAAGTGCCTGGAGAGCGTCCCAAGAAGCTTCATCTGTTGTGACGCTTTTCATAGTGGAGCGCAGTACTTTAGCAGACGTGAGTGTGTGCGGGTGCATGAGAGTAAGAAGTCTCGTAGGTGCAGATGGTAATTCACGTAATGGCTTCGCTTCAGCCGCTTGAAGAATCGACGGACCGATCTTATGCAAGCGGGGTGGAGCCAAGGCTCGAGCCTTTTGTTGGGCTCTTGAAATAAGCGCTAGGAATGAACGGCTATCGTCCGACAAAGGTAGTGGGAACGGGGCGAAGATTCGAATTCGACTCAATATCTTCGGCGTTTTGAATACTTTGCGCAACATTACGGGCAAGTCTTCCAGATAATTTATGGAGCACGAGACTCCTGGCGATAGGACGCTAGTTTGGTGAAAAATGTCTCGAAGAGCGACAAGGACATGGAAGCCGTCCGAAGCAATGATGAGCAATGTCGTGAGCATTGTCTTTGATATCTGCATGCAGATTGCGACGTAGAAAACGTTGAAGACATCGACGGAGAATACCACGATAGGACCGACGTATTCGTGGAGCCCTCCAGCTGCGTTTGCAATGATAACTTTGGTAACTTGCTTGAATATGGGGATCACAATGATAAAGACAGTTTGTTGGGGTCCGGAGAGCTGATAAAAAACTGCAGTGAACACTGGATAAGCCATCGCCACTGCTCCTTGAGCAAAAATGATCGTAGCCTGCGCTTTGATCTGTTGGCAAAGAATTGGGGACTCCGTAAGCCGCTGTCTTCCAACTACGAGCAACGTAAAACTCAAGACTATCAGCAAGTACGGCCCCACCATTAGAATATAGCCAAACGGGATCGGAAATTGCCACAAAACTGCAACAGCCAGCGCCATGGATACATCTACTAGGGAAGTTCCCAACGCAATTATCGCAGCTCCAGTGTTTGAGATGACGCCTGGTAATATCGCTTCTCGGACTTGTAAAGTGACCCCGACAGAGACAGCGACTAAAGCTAAAAACCAACGAAACCAGAAGGCGTAATTTGCATGCCAACCCTCGGATGGGTCTTTTAGAGGCGTACAATCGATCAGGAGAGTCACCGAGATGGCAGGAATTGGGGTCAAGATACAAACAGCCACGACTCGACTGAATGAGGCGCGCTTGTAGTAGTCTCGAAATGCCAGAAGTCGCTCAACGGAGTACTCGCTTCGATGGCCAATTTGGCTGCGGTGCCAATAGTTTAGTAGCCATAGAAAAGCTAATTGGCGTTTACTTGCGATTGTCTCGTGTTCTCCCTCTGGCTGAATCTTCATCGAGTCGAATAGAAGCACGACTATCGCTAGGCGCTAAGTGCATCGCAAAACTATAATTATTGGGGTCACCACTTAAAAAAACTATTTCAGTCATTTTTATAATCCAAATTGTAGCAAGTTGTACTGTGAGGATTAAGAAAAAATGATACTACAGTAGTAACTTGATACCACGCTAAATGAAGGTGTTTCTATTACATGGCGTTAATGATGTAATTCACACTCCTTAGTAGCTGTGGGAGTACCAAGCGAAGTTCGTGCTGGCTACTCGGCAAGTCGGTGTCTTCATTTGGCTCGCTCTCCCCTTTGCTTCTTCCTCTTGTCACTAGTTGGTTATTATCGATGGCTTCCAGAACTTCTTCAATGGTTCGACGTAAACTCATGGCATCAGAAGTGAAGTTGTCGACACTGTCACCGGCCTTGACATCCTGGGAAAGCAGTAGATTGTAGAGCGCTTTACTTGCTATCAGCGTCATGTCCAGGTCATCTACCGCAGCACATTTGACGATTCCTACCAGCAAACTACGGACGTCCACATCTTCATTTTCACCCATGGGGCGAACTGATAGTAAAGATTGGCGCGTCTTCTGATCAAGCGCAGCGTTCATCAAGACGCCACACACAGTGTAAACGACTTCACGGCTGCTGTGATCTAGCAGAACCACTAGACAATCCAGCACTTTGAGCTCACTCATGTACCCCAACACATCTTTAAATCGCGACAAATTTCCAAACGCTCTGGCCGCTTCCACCACCGCTTCTTCGTTCCTGTCCAGCAGAATTCGCGATAGAAGCTGGGTGATGGCAACGCGGTTGCTTTCAATGAAGCAGTAGTCGTCCTTCTGGACTGGTTCTCTCGAGCCACTGACTGATTCTGTGCTGTAATAAGACACATTGGTGATACAGCTTACGGTGTTCAGCATGAGTTCTTCATCCTCCACTCGTTGAGAGACTTCCAGCACCTCCAGTAGAGGTGACAGCGCTTCGTATCCGTTCAGTTGAGCACCCACGTCTGCGTTTATGGCCAGGTTTGCAACCACACGGACGAGTTTGATCAAGACTTCCATCGCCTGTTCTCCTTCTGTAGCGCAGCGACGCTCTTCCTTCTCGTCTGTGCGCTCTGCGTTCCGAGCGTCCGAATATCGAGCAGCATAGAACTGTAGCACTTCCAGCATGATGGAAACCCCGGAGTTTGTCGCAATCAAACGTCGATTCTGGTCGTTGCCGGCACACAAATTGCCAAGTATGAAGAAGACGCGGACGAAGAGCAAGTCTTGGAAGCGCATGTCCGGACGCTGTGGGTCCGTGAGTGAAAGCCACGAGTTCTGGCGATGGTCGATGAGAGCCATGAGGTTCTGTAGGTTGCTCGAGTTCTGGTTGATCTGAGCTCGAGGGAGTTCGTGTAAGGTGAGTTTACTCAAGATGCGAGAGACGTTCACCATCAATTCTTGGTGGTTTAGGAGCGCAGGGATCATTCCGCACAGCCGCAGAGGAATGCGAGCTTCGAGGAACTGTTTGTGGTTGCTCTTGGTGACGGATAAATTGCGTAAAATACCGGTAGTTTGGATCAAGAATTGAGCAATCTCCTTGTTTCGAACGACATCGTCTGAGCGCCACAGTATCGTCTCGCTGAGAATTGCAATCGCTCGGTTGGTAGCCAGCAAGCGAGCCATCTTGTCCTCTGCATTGGAGCAGTTTTTCAGTGTTCCAGCAGCGTAAATTAGCGCCTTCATGGGGATCTTTCGCTGCCCTGAGGGGAGGATGAAAGGGACATCGCTGTCTTCCGAGTGCCTGTCGTCCTCGTGTTCAGAAGACTGGTCGCCAGTGTCGGCAATAGCGTGGAGAACGGCCTCCACGTAGCGAACATTGCAGAAACTCCCATCGTTACCGCTGTCTTTACTCAGGACAAACAGGGCCTTCCCCAGCTTAACGACTTGTGCACTGGTCTCAGCGTTATCATCACTGCAGCTGCAGTACAAAGCCAGAAGCGATGGTGCTAGCTCCAGTACACATTCCGCCTTGGTAGCCCAGTTTTCAAGCAGCACGTCGGAGAGTTTGTGGAAGAGCTGGCCTCGAAGATTCGCAGCTGCTGCATCTTCCGGGTCTCTTACACTTCGGTCTTTGCTGCCAGCTTGGAGAAACAAGCTCAAATCCACAAACGCGTCCACCAATCCACGCAACTGACCAACTTTGGTGAGGAAGGTTGGCGATTCTGCCAGATCAAGTAGATCGTCCATGCAGCGCTCGATGTCATCGTAGGACTGTACCAGCTCGTCCTACAGCAACAGCATTAGAGATGAGATCAAAGTGCATAGCACGGCAGTGAGGCGTCTTACGGTAGAAGGAAGACTGAGAGAGGATTCCGAATCAAACTGCGTCTCCGCCGCCGCTTGGGCGTCTGCACTTGACAATTCATCTTCCGAGTCATCAGACAGAACCGGGGCGTGGACCAACTTGAGGCTGCTGGATGAAGCTGAAATGGTCTTTTCACTGCGCTTGGCGGTTGCTGGAGGTCGGGCCTTGCGTCCACTTAGTCGTGGTGGAAGCTTGGTGGGCATTGGTACCAATGGAGTGCGTTGCTGCTGTGTCTTCTGCTGAGCCATTTCCTCCAGCTCCACTGCTGTGTACGAAGAGCTCGGACGTGACCCTGGACGATAATCATCTCCGTGGAACAATGGACGACTCGAAGACTGCGGCGTGAATGGTCTTGACGGGTGTTTGAGCGAGGCTCGAGCCTGTTGGGGAGCAGAGTCTGGTGAGTGTCAAAGTTTTGCACTTTGAGCTGTGGGGAATCTGTTACCTGGGATAAAACGTGGGAGATTCCTCCTCGAGCGATGCTCGCGTCCATCGTTAGTTCTCGTTGGTGAGTTTTGCTTGCAAGGTGTTTGTAGCCATGTTGGCTCGCGTCGCTTCGTGCGCACAGATTTAACATTTGGGTACTTCTTGATTAACAATTGCACACACATATCGTCAGATGGAATTCGGTATTAATAACGCATAGAATTTCGGAGCTCAGCAACCGGTATCTCAGCCTGATAGTAATTTAGTGTTGCTGAAATGAGCTCATATTCCCTATGTATCAAGCAGCGTTTGTTAAGATGCCAACTTCAAGTCTGCACTTTTATCCACCTTACAAATGCCTAGATTAAACTCCTGTTTTTGTCAAAATGCCTTCCCAATTCTCTAAGCCCTTTTCTAAAAAATCATCATTGATACCCCCACAAGTGTCCACTGAATTCCTCCGTTTCGTGTGCATTACGATCCGTCCGAGCATGACGGAGGCGGGTTCCGAGGCTGCACGGCAGCGGCGGCAGCTGGCGTACGCGCTGCAGGCGCTCAAGCTGTACAACCCGGACTTTGCGCTGACGCCTGAGGTGCTGGAGATCATGCGCGCCTTCTTCGCAGACTTACGGCCGGATGCAAATGGAACAATCACTCGCGGAGCCTTAGCGGACGAGATTGCGCGTTTAGACCCGAGCGTAGACACCGTTCGTCGCCTGAGAAACGACATGGCAAAGAGAGAAGAGCGTCTGGACTTTGCTGCTTTCTGCGATTACGTCATGCGCTGGAAGGCCCAGAGTCCACAGGCTGTGCAGGCCGTGTACACGTCGTGGGCGGCTCAGATTGCAGCCATTGACTTCGACATGAACGACAATTTATTCTTAGACCTCAAGCCGGAGGATGAGCCGCCCAATGAGTCGCTAACACTCGAGATCATTCAGCTACTGCGGCAACGACGAAGGTCGCGTGAAGGTGACGTCAGGGTCAGATATGAGGACTACGAGGCTTCAATTGCCGGATACGGACTCCATCCGGATGACACCTTCAATGTGGACGTAAAGGAGGACAATGCGACGACGATGAAGCTGAACCACGCAGATGCGGCTGATGCAGCGGAGAAGAAAGGGTCCATTATGACAATTTCCAAGTCGTTTCTTGCCGGTGGGATGGCTGGTATTGTGGCCAAGTCCACGTTGGCCCCATTGGACCGCGTGAAAATTCTGTTCCAAGTGAACCACCAGGAGAAATTCAACTTCCGAAATGCCGTCAGAATGGCTAAGAATATATACGTGCAGGACGGGTTTCACGCGCTGTTTCGAGGGAACATGCTCAACATCCTGCGAGTCATCCCCTATGCAGGACTGCAGCATTCAGGCTTCGACTTTTTCAGGCATAAATTTCACGCCTACAATTTTCGGAAAGCGGAGAAAGAGGGGAGTGACGAGATGCCCAAGCTTAGTAATTTGCAGTTGGTTACAGCAGGCTCGTTGGCTGGAGGACTGTCGTTAGTGGTGGCGTATCCGTTGGATATTGTACGGGCCAGATATATGGTGCAGATGGGAAAGCAGCGATACACCAGCATCTACGAAGCTGTGGTTGCCATGTACAAGGTGGACGGGATACGGTCGTTCTCGCGAGGGATGGTGCCGTCGCTCTTGGGCACGTTGCCCTACACGGGTATTGGGTTCTCGCTTAATGAACGCTTCAAGATCTGGGTTTGTAGAACCGCACTTTGGAATATGAGCTATGGCTGTGTGTGACTAACTTACCGGTATTGCATCGGTAGACACTCGAGCTGCAGCGTCGACGGCTGGAGCGGAAATATGGCGCCGACGCCCCGGAGTCGAGTCTCAACCCGTTGACCAAATTTGTGTGCTCGTATTTTGCAGCTTGTATCGCACAAACGAGTATGTGGAACGCTATGTTTTTTTCTTTTTCATTTAAACGGAGCAACTCACAGTTTCTTGTTGCTAGGCACATACCCGATGGATACAATTAGAAGAAGAATCCAGACCGACGGCTACGTGTCGGGATCCCATGTGAAAATGCAGTATACAGGTGTAGTTAGCACTGCACGAATCATTATGGCACGAGAAGGCTGGCGGGGTCTTTTCAAGGGAGTCTCAGTGAACTGGATGCGAGTAAGTACTGTACTATCAACCTTCGTGATCGGGCGTATCCGATCACTAACTTTCGCTGTCCAATGCGTCTTAATACAGAGCCCCGTCTCTACTGGCATCAGCTTAACGGCATACGATGTCTTGAAGGAGATATTAGGCGTCGAGAAGATAGAATAATAAAACAATTGCGTCCTCCGATACTGGCGCGGTCACAGTAGCTACGCCGTTTGTAGCAGTGCGATAAAACTCCATCCGCAGCCAACTTGGAATGCTGGAACCTCCCGTTTACGACCAGTTTCAAAAACTAGCAGCGTCACTTTGATCGCAAAGGCGACGAACCTGTCTAGGCTGACGGTCAGCTATGACAGCATGAACACAGTGGTCAAACGCCAGCAACTCGGGTCGCGGTTTGTCCACCAGTGTCAGTTTGTCGCGTGTCTTCGCCACTCGCAAGGAGAAAAGCCACCGAGTGTTTGTCCACCAGACTCGCCTCAACTCCACAATAAAAATCAAGTCCGAGTCCACGAATTTCCCCCGAGGCGTCGATATTGGCCGATTCCAGGATGCTCGCCACGTCTCGGTAGTCCCGAATCACCGCATAGAGACCCGTCACGAGGTCGATGGTGGGATCATATCGGCAGATTTTGCCCTGCTCGTCGAATTGAAACACTGTAGTCATCGGCAGCCCAAACGTCGGATTTTGCAGCATTTTGTCGCGCAATCGTGTGCTGCTGAGAGTGAGCGGGAAGGCAGTAGCTAAGCTCCGAGTTGTCAGTCGAATGACGAGCAACGCACTCATGTACCCAACAGCAACGTCTTGTTCCAAGAAGCCCACACTGGATTCGCAGTGCTCCAGCAATATGGGCGCCGAGTCACGAAGTAAAAGCGCGAGATTTACCCAATGCTTGAGGATACTATCGCGTCCAACCGACTCGCCGTACCGCACATCAGTACAAGTTGCTGACTCGAGAAATTTGATCTGTTGGTCCCGTGTGCCTAACTCAAATGTCTTCATACACTCGCGCATGCACGTGATAACGCTTGACGCCGTTAGTGTCATCGGTCTAATTGGCATATTAGCGAAGTATTCGTGGATTCTCTGAGCATGGTGACGCGCATGTAGCTGCTGATCCACATCCATCCGAAGACGTTTCACTGTAGTCTCGAGAGAATTGACATACTGTCGCTGCTTCTCCCGGTACCGTTGCTGCCGGTCACGGCGAGCTTTCGTGGCTGCTGCTTGTCGATTTAGCTTGATTGCGTCTTGCTCATCGTCATCTTTGGGGCATGGCTGAAACAAGAAAGGACTCATCGTTAGAACGCCAATCTGACAATGGATCGCTTCGTGTTTCTGCGACTTGTTGGCCGAGCGAGCTCACGGGTCCCACACGCTTGCAGTCGCAAATGACCGTCGGTTTAGTCAGGCAGAACGGCTCCTTCATTACGGTACATGTTCGTGCGGGGCGGAAACAATATCGGGGCGAAGACAAAGATGCAAATGCCTTGAACCTGCGTGAGAACCCTGAGCGCTGGCAACTGGTCTCCCACCGCATTTCCCATCAGTTTTAGTTGCGATCGCACGTCCCAAGTCATCTCCCATCCATGGGAGATTCCAGACTGGTGCCGATGACAAAACAACATCAACAAAACGTTGGTATTTCACGCGCTTCTCAGAGATGTTCTCTCTGTCTGTCACCATCGTCGTCTCCAGGTTACTGACCGACCCCCTTACAGAGAGCGTACGTCAACATGAGCAGAGACAAAGAGGCGAAGCTCGAAGTTCAACTCCTGGGGATCGAAAGTGGATGGAAGTACAATGTACCAACCAGGAGGATACTTTCGCGATGCTTTTGCCAGTACACCACTTGGTGCACCACTCACATACACACCTCTGGATGAAGTGGCGCCTGCAAACGCTTGTTTAGGATTTGTTGAAAGTAGTAAATCTCCTTCCGACGTGCTCTCGAACACTGACACGTTGATAGACGGAGGAGGCATGGACTCTGCTTCGGTGGGAGACTCACCTGGTGCTGCATCTACCTCTGACTCGAGGACTACCAGCCGAGCTAGAATATCGCATTCCTGCGTGACATGTACCAAATACCTGGGATTAAACGTGTAGCAACCGTAATTGGAACAGCCTGCAGCTGAGCCAGTCTGAATCTCCCACTTGCCTCGCAGCCGCGTAAGTTCCATGCCGTGGCCTTCAGCGGGGATCTGGTGATACGCAATACTGGCTCCTGCAGGTGGATCGCTTACAACGCGCAGTGTGAACTTGCCCAGAACGTCTTGCTCAAAGGTGGACGGGATCAGCACAACGTCATGCAGGCCGGATGCCAGAGTAGCTGCGTCTACCTCAATGAAGCAAAATCCTGGTCGGTACTCACCGGAACTGAGTACCTTAAGCGGTTCATCGACCACCGAGTCATCATCACCTGCAGCATGCAACCCACAAACCCGCTCGCGCGTGTGCAAAGCAGCACGAAGATTGATCGGGAAACTAGCGGTTGTCGTGTCCTTGGAGGAAAACACTTCCGTCTCGAGAAACAGGAAGAGCGAGCGGCATGGCTTCTGGAGCTGCAAATGAAACTGCGGGTTGTTCATGAAAGTCGAGTAAAACGGGCGTCCACCGGCACAAGCAGAGTCCCAAGCACCCGGAATTACTACAGAAGTCGGTGAAGTGGTCGGAAACTGCGGAATGGACATACAAGTAAACGGGCGGGTCGAAAATATTGACAGCGTGTAGTCGAGAGCCGCAAACTTCTCGTACTGTGACGCCACAAGCGTAAAACATGGCTGCTCCGAGTCGTTAGTTAAATCCAAATCTAGACTCACGAGCGTGTGTGGGTTGTTGCTGTACGTTCCTCGTGACACAGCGCAATGGTTGTAGAACACGCGCTTTCCAGGGGTTCCGCGATAAACATGCAGCGTCAGGAACTGCTGGTTCGAGTAGTCAGTGTCGCGTTCGATGGTGCTCACATGCCTCGAAAGCAGAAACCACACGGTGCAGGTACCAGCGGCGGCGGTGGCTCCGTCGTGGGATGGTGCAGTCTTACCGAATGTGAGGGAATACTGCGGGTTGAACCCAAGAGTAAGGGAATCGTTCACGGGTCCTAGCTCAACAGGCCAGTGCTCATGGCAAACTCCCTTGTAAGGGAAGAGTTCAGGATTCCAGTTCATATACAAACTCTCAAAGTATTGCTTTACCGACTCAAAGTCGATCCAGAACAAGCCGTCATCCTGCTGTCCACCTGCTTCATTGGCTTCGCTCTCCCCAGGTGCGTAGAACTGGCGCTGATACGCACGCAGCTCGTCACCAATAGCGCTGTCCCATCGGGTCTTGTCGTGGCGAGAGTATGGTCCCTTCCAGCTCATCTTCCGCCATGGATTCTTCACCTGTAGTAGCCGTATCTTCTTGCCTTCTTTGGACGCAACTGAATTGTTGGCAAGCTCGTACACGTTCAGCACAGCGTAGACGTGCATGGGGACGAGGCCAATCGCTTTCGCTTCCTGCTTCGTGATGTCTCCAGTGGACATTGTAATGATGCAATCTCCATAGTGAAACGCACTCTTGAGCTGCTCCCACAGGCGTTCTTCCTTGCTTGGTGCGTCGATAAGCTCGGAAACAGGAACACGCTCTGGAACCCACCCCGTCAAAGCAAATAGGTCAATGCCTGAGTTCCCTCCAGGAAAGTCGTAGCCTCCATTCAGCTTCAAATAGGCCTTCTCAATTAGACTCACCCACAGTTCGTTCTTACGCGTAGTACAGCTTGACAGAAGCTGTCCGGACGTCGCACTTACCGGCAACAAGTCGTCAATAACGACTTTACGAGGCACACCGTTAGCCCACAGCTTCACCACGTACTTGCCGAACGGGTTATACACCGGCTGCTTCGTCCTTGGATCGGCCGGGAAAATAATGTTCGTGATCAGATGTTTCTGAAATCTCTGCTCGTAGGCCGCCGCGATACACAGCGACGCGACAAACGAACAGTCCGTCACGATATCCTGCTTCACCACCAATGGGTTCACTCCCCCATCTGCAATCATCACGGGCGCCTCATACCCGCACTTTGCCGCACAGTCGCTCGGTCTCATCCACGTCGCCTCCTTCTTCTTCTGCTTGGCCGACAACGGCACGTGTCCGTCAGGATCAGCGAACGGCTCAGGTAAACTAAACTTCTCCTGGGCATCCAGATCATCCAGCCACGGCACGAACAGGTGGCCGTTGATCTGCGACGACCTGCGCAGTACGTCCAGCTCCTGTGGCGTATACGCTGCCCCCGACTTCTCCTCTTGCTTCTGTTTCTTCCCCACATCTGTCACTGGTCTGACTGCAGGCATCGCAGCAGACGCATACGCCGGTGTGACGAGCGCTGTCTTATCCTGTAGTGTCGGCGGCTCTGGCCACTGGAGCGCAGCGACGTCCACGTCGTCGCTGCTGTTGTTTACCTGTTGCTGGATCTGATTCTGTGTCGTCTGAGCGCCAGCTTTGAGCTGCGATACATAGTCGATAACGTATTCAAGTTGCTCCTTGAGTGCCGCCCTGGCCGTCGCCTCGCTCGTCGGTAGCGCGTTCAGTGCCTGCATGTAGGTCTCCGCAGCGGCGATGTACCTGTGTATGATGATATCAGTCTTGGTAGAGTCGGATTCCTCGGCCTCTCTGGCCGATGCGTGCTGCTCCATAGCGCGGGCCAGCAGAAACTCACTTGAGTGCTGCAGTTCCGCTACTCTCGTCGTCAGCTCTTCGATCGTGGGCTGCAGTCGCGCCCGCTGCGCTGCAGATTCGATCACTGCGAGGCGCTTGAGGATTCGAAGTGCCTGTTGGAACAGCGGAACAGCCTGCGCAGCATGGCCCGCTCGCTCGAAGCTCTGTGCTTTCTCAGTCGCCGCCAGTGCCTCGGCGTACTGCCGCTCCGCCATGCTCAGCACTGATCCTCTGCGGACTCTGAATCGAATTGATTGTGGCGAGACGGTGTGGCGTACGTACGTTGATTGGATTGGATGAAATAAAACTTGAGCTTTCTGGATTGGTGGAAAATCATCGTGCGGTCACAGGAGCATTTCCGAGGGTGCAGACAGCAGGACACTAAGCAGCAACCATGAGCGGCAAGGAAGCGTGGAAGCCCTTCGTCAAGTTCGAGTACCAGAACCTGCTGCCGGCGGAGCTTCGTAACAAGGTCCGTCTTCGTTTTTTGTTGTTGTTGGTATGAAGCTTCCCTCCTCTTACGCTAACGTTGTGGGTGCAGCTCCGCAAGATGCTCGTCTTCACGGAGGCTACGGGCACTAAGCAGGTGCACCAATCTCCGGCTGTTTCTCAAGGCTACCGCTACCCGTCGCCAGACAAGCAGGCTGAGGGCGTGTCTGTGCCGTCCAGTGATTCTAAGGACAGCATTTACAATATCCAGTACTACACGCGTGACATCCGTCGCTTTCCGTTCCCTACCGAAGTGGGCATGCACCCGTCCATCCCCATGGAGAAGCGTGCCGAGATCCCGGCGGACGCCAAGCGCGGATCTCCCGGTAACAAGAACCCGGCCGTGTTGCGCTACGACCCTACCGGTACCCGCTCGGCCATGAGCACGACCCATGAGGCGCGTGACAAGCTCATTCTGCAGCACGCCTCCACGCACAATGTGCGTTTTGAGTGGGAGGGGGATGCTGAGAAGGAAATTCTCGAGGACCTTGAAGCCAAGAACCTGCCGCCCACGCCCGGCCGCCCCTTCGTCTGGGACTTCCCCGCTCAGAGCCGTGTCATGCGCTGGTAAATTAGGTCTTATGGCATGAAGCAAGCGTGGGTAAACTAGTGTGCTGTCTTTCACGGAGAAGGAAAAATTGCATTCCAGGCAAACCTACATGTTGGCGACGATGATGAAAAGATTTCCATTTATCGAGAATTTGAGCACCTTTGCTTTGAAAACCACAACTACGTAGTATAAAGGAAGAGTTTTAAAATTCGAAATGTCTTAAAGCAAATACTGGTATACCGATGGTTAGAAACTTCTTCAGTAATTACGGGCTTACCGATGGGCAGTATTTTAGATTTTCTTTAGTTGAAAAGAAAATTAAAATACTTTTTAATCAATGAAATGGAAAGAAATATCCAAGGCAGCTCAGTTTAAAAAACGGGTTGATCACCGGTATCCTGAGGCTAAAAACGTTTAAAAAAGAAATTAGAGTCGCAAAACAAAAGCAAAAATAGAAGTTGTATTGTTTCCAAAATGCCAATTTGTTTTCTGAGTATTCACAAAAAGGAGCAATTGTAATTCTCCCATTTAAAAATGGGTAAAATGCGATGATCATCTCGTTTTGCATCAGTCTGGGACAGTGAAGAAGGATAACTGGCATTACCTGAAGAAGCTTGAAGCCACCATGCAATTCACCGTGATGCCGGAGCTACCAACTCTTCCTGCGCCCGAGGTCGTGGCCAAGACAGACCAGTCCATCACGCTGCGTGTGCAGTTGCCGCCACAGGACGGAGACGCGCAGTACAAGCTTCAAGCGGTCGGTTACTCTTAATTAGCCTCTCCATTCTATTTCTTCTCTAACGTTTGTCTTTCCTCATTATCTGCAGAGCCACAGTGAACATGGCTACGTCTATTACTCCTGGAACGAATCGGTGCTCTTCACGGGCCAAATGTTCCCGGTCAAGGGGCTCACACCCAACACGGTTCGGCTTCAGTATTTATTTTATTATGATAGTTTATTATTATTATCTTGCTATTAACTTCGCATCGCTTTACAGACGTACGTGTTCCGGGTGCGTGTAGTGCACGACGCCAAGCGCCAGTGTGGCGAATGGTCGGGGCTCACGGCCTACACGCGCACGTTCACGGAGGAGGAAGATGCCAAGCGCTCGGGCACCGTCTTCGAACACGCGCTCAAGCTGGAGCGCGAGCAGAAGAGCATTTTGCAGGGCCAGATCTCCAAGCTCACTGGAATGCTAGATGAGCGCAAGACGGCGCGTGAGAACGACAACAAGGTGCAGCAGCACGAGGACATGCTGGCCAGTCGCCGCATCATCGACACGAGGCTCATAAAGCTGCAGCAAGAGCTCAGCTCGCAGACGACAGCGCTGCAGACGATCAAGACCCAACGAGCTGCAGACGAGCAGATGATCACAGAGTTGTTGAACGAGCAGGAGAAGCTGCGAGTCACACATAGCGAGCAGCAGGGTCAAGCCCAGTACGAGATCGAGATGCAGACACTGCGTGCGCAGTTGGAGAAGAACGAGGAGGCACTACGCAAGCACCAGGAACAGGTGAATGCCAGTCACGAGCATATATCGAGCTACGAGGCGTCGTTGGAGGCCAAGAAGCAAGAGATCGCTCAGAAAGAGGACGAGGTCGAGAGGATCATGGCCGACTGCAACCGCATGGTGCAGGAGCAAGCTGATCTGGCTCACGTCAAACAATTGGAAGTGGAAGACGCTCTGCTGGAGGCCAAGACGTCGCTGGAGCAACAGCTGGACATCAATACGTACTTGCGCGAAGAGGTTTCTCGTCTTCGGGAGGAGAATCACCACTTGAAGAACCAGATAGAGGAAGTGGACTCAGAGGTGGTGCCCAAGCTGGTGCGTCTAGAAGACGAGAACGAGCAGCTACGCGCACAACTTAACCGACGGTAGACAGCTGCAAACTCAAGTGGCACACTGCGCAGTGTGACTTGTATCCTTGTGCTTCTCTCTGCTAAGACCTGTGTGGGTCTGCTGCCCCTTGTGTATACTTAAGTACTCCCGCCCCCGTGTGGCTATATAGCTATTTGCAATACACTTTTCCTTCACTCTGAAGTCGGTTTATTTCTCCCTAGAATCCCTCGTCTTCATCCTCATCATCAAAGCCCCCGAGTGTGAATGCATCAGCGGCACCAAGTGGGGGAAGTCTCGACGGAGGGGAACTAGCAGATAGAGCTGGAGACGGATCAAACATGGACCGAGAAGGCAACGGACGTCTTACTGGAGTGCGGTCTTCATCGACAAAGCCTTCCCCGTCGTAGGATGAACTTACCGACATATTGCAGGACCGACTGAGACTTCCCATGTAGCTATCAGCACGATACGAAGCACTCGACGGGTTGGGTACACTTCCAGCCATGCTCACGTCTTCATCGATCAGATCTTCTTCTTCTTCGCTGTCATCTTCACCTTCTTCTGCCTTCTCCTGCATCTGACGGATTGATGTCTTGACGGATTCCAGCAGTTCACAGTTTTCGCTTGACGTCGGATCGGCGTGTTTCCAGTACAAATACAACGGACCGATATACCGGAACGAACGACGCAAGAGATAAGGATCGAAAGGGAAGAACGTCTCGAGAGGTTGACGCTGACCGAGCAGTGTGGAAGCAGACGCTGATCCTGCCGTGGGTTTCTTGGAGCGCTCCATTGACTTGGCAGATTTGCTCGTAGACGACGAGACGGTGCCAATAGCTTGATCCACACGTTCGAGACACTCCTCTGAGACCAAATCGAACGCCTCCACCAGGTTCAAGAACTCAGTAGCTACCGTTTGTTGGCAATACGCCAATGGACAGTAGCCCCCGCTTGTGACTAGCAGCCGCTCCCAGCCAAGACTGCGCAGGAAGTCGTAGCCAGCGCCATCGTCACTGGTAGCAATCTCCAGTCCGCGGAAACAAACCATGTAGCACACCGTCTGCAGTGAGGAAATAAAAATACTCTCTTGAAAGCCGCGATCGCCTGTGATCCCCATGTTCTCCGACTCCTCCAGTAATCGTTCGTCTCTTTCAGCTGCAGTCTCGCCGTCTCGCTCTTGTTGCTCTTGGTGTGCTGCATCGTAGACGTCCATTTGGTCATGCAGCCACTTCAGCAGATGATACAGAGCCTTCTGTAGATAAGCCACGGAAATGTACTTGGCGCGAGCAAGGAAGCTGGCCAGATAAGCACCACAGCTTTGACGTGTGGTGGGAGGCGTCTGAGGGTCCAGCGACGTGGCAAGCAGCTGCGAGATGAACACGTCTTGAAACTGCGGGTCCATCCGACACACATAGAACAGCAAGAACTGAGGATACTTGGATCGATGAGTGTTGAGAATCGAGTGCTCGAACACCTTGAGTAGGTACTTGAAAATCAGAGCTGCTTGGCGCACGTCCAAATTTTTATCTCCTGTAGAAGAAGCCACCGAGTCGGAGGACGCTGACGTAGGCGACGAGGATACAGCGCTCTGCTCGATGTGCTCAAACATGACGAGCATCATTTGGTCCAGTTTATCGGCCATCTCGTCCACCTGTCGCGAGGCGTCATCAGGCGGCAACATGTCGTCGTCCAGGAAATCGTCCATCGTGAACATATCCTCCTCGCTCTCGTCTAGTTTGATCTCCACATCAATCGCCACCAGCTGGTCTAGCACCAGTCCCAGCACACGTTCACGCAGTCCACTTACGTACCCTGTCACACGCAGTACATTGCGCAGATACGCCACCTGAGTCGACGCATCCATTCGCTTGTGCGGGAAATGCTCACATAGAATTGGGAACAATACATTGGCTGCAGTTGGCACCAACGTTAGTACACGCTCCAGAGTCTCATGGGCGGCTTCGAATCGGCTCTGGATACGCTCGTCTAGACTCGGCCCCTTGGCTTCGTGCACGACCTTCGCAACGGGCGTCGGGGTCGCTACTGTATCGGCTCCAAATGATCCTCCAATGGAGATTCCACCGGCTTTTGTGGATTTCTTGGTTGTCTCCTCCTCGTTCTTTTGCTCTGTCTGAGCGAGTACTCGGAGGTCCGGCGGTAGCTCCTTCTCCTGGGGACGGCGCATGTTGCGCACAAGCATGTGAAGTGTGGGCACCACGTAGACGGTATTGGAAGATACCAGGTGCACGATGAAGCTCGTGTAGTCCTCCACCTCGAGCGGGTCACCACTTGCCAACAAGTCAAATTTGAACAGCACGTCCAGCAGCGCGCGGTAGGCTTTAGGCTCGCGTGCCATCGTGGAGATACAGCGCGGTAGGGCGCGAAAGATCTTGCGACGAGTGGCGACGGGCGGCGGTACGAGCGTCAACTGCTGGATGAGGTATTGGTAGCTCTTGGCATTACCCTGGGAAAAACATGGTTAGACTGAGGCTTAGAATGTGGAAGAAAAAGAGATAGTACCTTGATGAGCAGGTCCAGCGCATTCTCGATGAAGTGGTGCATGCTGGCAACCTCCTCCTCGGTCGGAGAGACCGCCACGGGCTGCGCACAGCGCAGTGTTGTCGCACTTCCTGCCATCGGAGCTATAATATTTGGACAAGTGCGGCAGGTTGAGTCATTGGTAGCAGCTACGCGATTGGCGAAAACTCGTTTAACATGATACGATTGGATAAAATTGCTAATTGGTGTGTCTAGTATATGATCATTTACGGTATGACGCCTACGGGTGCTCCTTGCTTTGCGCTAGTAGTTCCCCGGGAGCGTTGAACCACACGCCAAGCGGGTGTTCGGATGTGCCTCGTGGAGGCAGGACGTTTGGCGGACCCACGCTGCTGAGGATGCTGCGCATGGTGTCGATATCGAGTCCATACTTGTCTGCGAGCACCTCGTGTGTCCAGCTCATGGGCTTCTCGTAGTGAAGACGCAATAAAGTACGCAGATCTCTCGAGGTTAAACGGCCTCGAATTTCTTCCTCGTCGATGCCTCCAATGCCTGATGAAGACGCAGCGCTGGTCTTATCGGTTGGGAGTCGTACAGGCTGCGATGATCGCGGGCGGTGGCTACTGGCAGTGGCTTCGAAGGCGCGTGTGCTCTCCTCGAGAAACTTAACGCGGTCGAAATCCTCGATCTTCTGAACGTCGTCCAGCAGTTGCGTCTGCATCTCCATCAGCTCCACGTGGGAACCATGTGAATCGATGGGCGTCGCCGACATCTCGACGGCTTCCACTTGAGTCTGCGCCGGTAGCTCCGTGACAGCACCACGAGACAGAGCAATCAGCTGCTCCAGCGACACGTTAGTGCGGATCACGCGGCTGCGCGAAGACGACGCCACAGCGGACGAGGTCTTGCTGGCAGCGGCTCCCATGTGCTTTTGTGCTAAACGAGCGGTGGAAAAACTCGTACTTAAACGGAATTCCGGTGGTGTTACCGCGCCTCGAATGTTTTTTTTCTGTTATGTTTTTTTCGGTTCCTTAGCTACTGTCTGCTCCCAATCGAGCAGTTCGTACGGGGTTGGTCCCCATGCTGAATGTCGAAGAGCTGCAAGCGTCTGCCAGTGAAAAGTTTGTTCACAGCAGCCCTCTACTTCTTCTTGGTCGCGTCGTCTTTCGTCTTTAGATGTCAGTTTGATAATGGGAGAGGCAGGCAGTCTCTTGTGCTGGTGTTTCGGTTGGAAAACGGGGTCGCTGACCTCCACGTTGTAACCTTGGTCGTTGAAAGAATTCGCTCTCACAGCTTCTTCGTCTGCCTCACTTCTGCCACCTTCGCTGTTAATGCCCAGAAACGGTCAAGCCACTTCGTCTCCCCTTCTGCGTTCGTTCGATACACGAGATCAGAGTTGCAGCCGAAAGGTGGCGAGTTCTACGGGTTGGGAAACGAGTTCGGCATTTGTTGCTGACGTTGCTGGGCGCTCGTTGGGGCAGCTGCAAACCCTGGGGGTGGACGCGTGGGCATCCGTGGAGGCGACGGGTCCTGCGTCTCAGTCTGGGTCGACGGCGTCGACGAGCCCAAAAACGCGCTCAAGCTCGAAGATCTCTGCTGGTACAGAGCTGACTCGCGCTCTATCGCTGCCAGGTCTGCCATTGGGGCGAAGGCTCGGCTTTCGCCACCCAATCCAAGACCATTTAAGCCTCCAGGGGTTGCAGTAGGCGCCATAAAGTCCGTAGTCTGTCCACTGCTGCTGTTAAATGCCATGCCCAGACCTAGGCCCAGGTTGGATCCCAACATGCCGCCGGTGTTATTGCTGCTGCTGTTTCCCCATCCTGACAGCAGAGATTGGCTGGACAAGCTGCCGACATCGTTAAACGTGTTGAAGCTAGGATAACCCAGCGACGCACCAAACGAGCCGTTGCCAGCCCCAAACGCACCACTTTGGCTGTTGATACTGGCTCGTCCGTGTTCCTCAGCAGGTGAGATTGGACTCGGAGCGCGAAGGCTGAATGCGCCTCCACCAGATAGCGATTCCAAAGGAGAAGGAGCGTACCCTCCGTACTGCTTGGTAGACTGGCTCTCTGACATGCCTCTTAGCGCTGGCGACGGCTGGAACACGATCACTTCGTCGTCAAAGTCGTCGTCCTCATCCACACCAGTTCCAGCACTGTAGCCATTGCCGAAAGCGCCTTGTGCCTGCGTATGCTGCTGTTGTTTGCTGCTCTCGGGTGATAGGAACCCGAGATTCAGAGAAGCAAACGCGCCTGGCGTGCCGTTATCCTGCTGCGTGTTTTCTTTGCCGACGACAGGCGAAGTCGTGAACTGCCCCGACGCTCCACAGAAGAGAAGCGGGTTTCCTTCGTAGCCATCGCACAAATAGCGAGCGAAATGATACAGCTTCCAAGCACGAACTTTTGCGGCTTCAGCGTCCGCCAAAGACGTCACTTGCGACGCACTATTCGCTCCTGTAGCTGTGGTCTGGAGCGTCCATTCGTCCTGCCTCGTAGACTTGACTCCGTCCTGCTCCAGCGGTGCAAAACCGCGGAGTTCGAGACTTTCTTTCAGCAAATGCTGCTGCTCACTGACACTTGCAGGTATCTCGTCGGTATTCTGTCCGGCGCCCACTACCAACGGGGCATAAAGCTCCCGAATACGAGCGTGGTTGGCAAGTTTAGCCAGCGTCTCAAGAAACACTGAAGCGAACTGGTCCGCTCCGGTTCCCTGGCCACTCGTTGCCACGTCACTGTAGAGTTTCTTTTGGCGATGCACCAAAAACTCTTCCAGCTGCTCCAACATCTCCGGATGCAGCTCCAAATAGTCACAAAAGACGGTCACAGGGCCTGCAAGTCGAAACGTCGAGGGTGCGGAGTCCTTCGGCGCTTTACCGTTCACATTCGCCGCCGGTTTGGTGTCCAAAGTGTCCAAAAGAAACTCCATGACGCTAGTAAGCGTTCGAATCGACAGACGAAGCGCATCTTCAAGCGGGGCGCTTGGCGAGCGCGAGTCCGAGGCTCGACTGATGCAGAAGATGTTTATCACCATGATCTTCAGTAGCAACGCGTCGCCCACTACACCTGCCTGCAGCAGCGTCCTCATGTCCTTAAACAAAACCGCTTCCATGTCTCGTGGGTACACTGGCGTGGCTGTCTCGCTGTTGCTGCGAGTACCGGACGAGGCTGTCGGTGATCCACGCGGCGACGAGAGCGCAAACAAGATGCCATGCATACGCGTGAGACGGTGCAAGTAGCTCTTCAAGAACGCCGACTTCTCCTTGGACGACGGCGACGACGACACGGTAAACGTGATCGGCGCAGCCAATGGACGTTGACGGCTACGTTCAAATAGCAGAGCAAGGTTCTCCTCCGCCGTGGTGAACGGCTGGGAGGTCAGTAAACTGCGGCAGTACCGGTACACCGCCACGGTCTCCGCCTCCACGTACGTGGCCAATACGGCCAATTGGTTGTGCGGATTGCCATTCTCCGGCAGCACAGCCAACGCGCGATGGTACAACGCTTCGGCTGCTGCAAAGTTCTTCTTGGCTTTCTGACTGTGCAACTCTCGGTAACGCGCCAAGTCTCCTAGAAACACATAGCAGCGATGCAAGCTCTGGCGACCACGCGCGATGGCGTCAAAGTCTTCCTTGGACGCAGTCTGCAGCCACGAGGCGAACACGTCTCTCAAGTGCGCGTAGAAGACTGCAGAATCGGTCAGGAATTGCTGAAACTCGCTCGACACGCGCGCAAAGTGTTCGCGAACGTTGCGGTCCCCCTGCGCCGCCGCCGCGTACTTACGGATGCGCCGACGGAAGTCCTCGATGCGGCGATAGAAGCAGGGTTTCCACAACGCCTGCTCCACCTCCTTTTTAGCTGCAAAAGCCGGGTGTGCGTTCGCCAGCCGCGTGGCGACGTCCATGAGCCGGCGTCGCAGCGCGTTGGCGTCCTGGGCGTTGAGTGGGTTAGCACGCAGAAGATCCCGAAGCTGCTTGTCCAGCGCCACCAGCTCCCTATAGGCATATAACGTGGGTTAGAGTGGGCATACAGAGAGGATGGAGGCGCGAGCGTACATGTAGGCGCGGCGCGGGTCCATGGCGGCTTGGTGGCCAAGGACAGTGCGCAGCTTTTGAGGGCGTTAACAAATGTCGGTTACGTTTTACAAGCAAGACTACCAGGGGCTAATGGTAACCAAATATCATTTGATATTTTTGATAGTAGTAGTAATATTTTCGATATCAAATATTAATAGTAACTCATTTTTGCAAAAGCTAACATAGTATTTTTATATTAGCTCGAAAAATAATATTAGATACTACATGATATTTTATGATATTTCCTCACTTAAGTACGTTTATTGCCAGCTTACCTCTGTGAACCGAGCGGAGCCAAATAACTTTTTCGATCAGGTTCTAGAAAAGCAGTAGGCTTTAAGACTGACGAGTATTTGCTCTAGTATTTCACTGTGACACAGACAAAGGCGATCGAGATGGAAAACTGCAAACGCTTGCAGCTGTTTAACGTTGATAGAGCGAAATCCAGACATTTGTTCTTGTTCTCTACCGATCTCCTCGTCGACATCGTGCGTCTAATAAACCTGCTGCCTGTGGCGCTAGATTAATGCGCTCAGCAGTGCCAACACACAACGCCAACCTTGCCGTCACTCACAATTGTCCCGGTACTCACGGTTGATTAGTAATACTTCAGCTAGTCGAGCGTTAACGACACCTGATTGGTTAATGTAGCCCGATTACGCAATCATTGAAAAATATAATATCGTATTAACTAAAATTGAGTTGATATTTAATAATATCATATTGTCTCAGAAGAAAATATTAGGTGATATTTTTTATATTAGCTGGTCTACAGGTGATATTTTCACAATATTAACTTCACCGATTTTGGAGTTACCATTAACTCCTGAAGACTACTGCAAAATGTTTTGTGATCACTAAAACACGGGCACACTTTTTTATTTTGGCCAATGAAGAGGTGCTCTTTTCGTCAAAAGCGTTGTTTACTAATCTGTCATTCCGTTATCGTAAGAGCTTCACCTAAACACCCATCTCCAAGCCGACAAAGGCGTCTGATGGGTCAAAAAATGATTTTTGCTCATAGTGAAGATCATACAAGTTGAAGTCAACCATGGCAGCATGCGCACCAAAACATGGTATATCACTGTGTATTCGCGTGCTACAAGCTAGGATACTCGAAGCAACAGCTAGCGCACATTTCAACAAGTCTGAACGCAAGATCTATGAGCAGAATGGGGAATTTCAGCGCGCCAAGGCTACTTCTGAAAAAGTTTTTTTAGCTGAACATCGCACGTGGCTGCTGAACTACTACCAAAACCGTCCGCTTTCTTACCTGGACGAGGCCCAAAAAGCCTTCACGTGTTTCTATCAGATTGCGATATCGTCCGTTTGGCGTATCATACACGAAGAAGGACTTACCTGGAAGGTTCTGGAGCGTCGCGCCATGCATATAAAGGAGAGAGACGTCTTCCGCTTCGTTGGGGAAGAAAGTTCGAGGGGACTTCGAGTGGAAGCTCTGTATTTCAGTCCTGGCTGTCACCGACGTCGACGGAATACTCGACTACTTCAATACTGATGGTACCTTCGACCGTGAGGAACTCACGAAGTGTTGCCAAGACTTTGTGCAGTCGCCAAAAAGAGTTGTCTGTCAATACCCTGGTCGTAACTCGGTCTGGGTATTAGATGGTGCTGCCTTCCATAGAGATCCCGAGATCATTCATTGCGTTGACGTGGTTCCCATCTTCCTTCCAGTAATTTGTCCCCTTTTTCAATCCAATATAGCTCCGTTTTGGATTCGTGAAGCGGTCATTTCAGCGTCTATCGCTGAAACCAGCAAGCGAGACTTGCTGTCATTCGTCGTTCAGACCTTTTGTCGTTTTAAAGGATTTGACATTGGAAAAACGTTTGACCACTGTGGTTGGAAGCGCCAAGGAAACTTTGACCCCACTGGACAGCTTTCCACAGAGACTCGAGCAGGACCAGAAACCAACACCGACAAGCGCAATCTAGACAGCTTGGGGGTTACCGAGTTGGAATGAATTATAGTGAGTAGACTAAAAACTTATAGCAACTTTCATCTCAATCGCATAAACTGTGACGTAAACTTGAAACGTGCCAATCCAGACGAAAGCGCATAATTCTCTGCTTGATCAATGTCCTCAGTGTTCAGGAGCCGATCCATTGAATCCTAAACAGAACTGGGGGAAGGGGGAGTAATATCCTCTTGAATCGCTTGAAGTATGCCTTCACGTGTCACCATGTTTCGCTCCAGCTCTTCAAGACGTCTTGTAACGGCTTCATTATAACGACGAATCTGTCGGACATCGTCTAACGCTGCTCGCACACAGTCCAAAATTACCTTTGTCGAAACATGCCAATCGATTTTCGACATTTTTTTCGCCAGCAACGTGCTAGTGGATTCCTGACTTGGCCAAACCCAAAAAGCACTATACCGAGTATTACGAGCTACCCCAACGCGCGACCCATCCACGAAACACACTTAATTACAGAACGTGTCATGCAATGTGTGACCCGCCAAGACGTTTGTCAAGTAGCAGGCAAAGAGTCATCTGAACGCAGGAGAGATATCGACAAGTGGATTAACTTTGCTGTTGGAAGTGCTAAATGTGTCCGGTGCTGATACATTTGGAGATATCGGGTGTGGAATCGGTAATGTGTTAGTGCATGTGGCTATCGAGTCTCGTGCAAAGGCTTGTGTTGGAATTGACATCCGTCCAGAACTTGTCATTGCAGCTCAAAAGGTGATTTATACACTGTTCACGCTAATTAGTCGTGGTTCGAATATAGTAGTACTTTGTACTTATAAAGGACAAGCCCGTACTATTACACTTTTAGTCGTGCACCACATTTAGTCATACACCAGATTTAGTCGTTCAGTTGTTCACAGCCACTCAGTCGCTGTCAAAATCCTGTGCAGTTATTCTAGCATTGCCCATGAGCTCCGACGGAATGCGTTCTCTGCAGCATGCCGTCGCTGTCAGTGACAGAGTCAAGTGTGTGGAGTGGATGGCTGTGACAGCAGCATTGCACGGAGAGAAGGGCTTCCCTGCCAAAGCCATCGAAGCCTTTCCAGCCTACTTCCGCTCTGATGTCCGCCGCGTCAACCCAAACAAGGCCCGGGACTGGTGGAGCAAGCGTCATGCTCTTGTGCAACCTGAGGGAGAGCGCCAGCGAAAGTTCGCGCGCAGTGGATCTGGTAGCCGTCACCAATTTGTCATAAAGACAGCTGCGAGGAGAGGTCCTAAACTGGGTGATCATTGGGCCTGGTTGTATCCCGTCCTATTGTCTGAGTTTGATCGCTTACGCAAAGCGGGGGTGAAAATGTTATCACAATTGCTATTAGACATTGCGGTGACTTTGGTTGAGGACAGTGTTTACCCAGTGTACAACAAAGCGTTCCAATTTAGCGTTAAAACCTTTACTAATCTAGTTACACCTCGTCAAATCCACGATTTCGCAGACCGACACGACATTGTTTACCGCCGCCTCAAGGGCAAAAAGCAAGTTAGCAGCGAAAAGCAGCGCGTCATCCACGCGTCTGTTGCGGAGTATCTAGGGCGTCTAAAGCATCAATTCGACGACGGTCTCATTGACTCCACAACATGGATGAAAGTCATTTCGTTATTGACTTAGATGATGGCAAGAATTTATTTCCGTGGTGCCTCCCACGTCAAGTACCGTGCGTGGTTTCTGGTAAGTTCAAAATCACTTTTTTAAATTCACTTTTTAACAAATTTCTGTGTTTTTTAGGACGCGAAGGGATTACAATGTGTGTGCTTCTTCGTGGCGGAACCAACGCACAAATAGAGTGCCCAATGCTCATCTTCAGAATGAGAATGCAAATTATCGAGCGAGATAAGAATGGTCTCAACTGGGCTAAGAACTCCATGATTTTGTGTGGACTAGATGTTGGCTCTTGTGGCTACTGGAAAGTCGTTCAGCTTGACCGAGACCTACAGGACATCGTACGCTGAATTTCAAGATGAGTTCAAGAAGGGCTACGCGGAAGCTAAGTAGTCGGCTTAGCTTTAGCCTTCTAGGATTCTACCCTAAATAGTCATACACCCTAATTAGTAGTTTACCTCGATTTGTCGTACATTGTTTTGGGACTTTTAAATCGTACACCACTATTAGTCAGAGGCTGACTAATTAGCGTGAACGGTGTACTCATTCAGCGGATTATCCGGAATTACAAAAGGTGGCTGTGTTTGTAGCCGATATCACTTCCATCAATGCGGGGCCTAATTGCACGCTGGATGTATGCACAGTGATACTGGAAAACAATGTCCTATTCGAAGACTCGACTAACTACGCAATTGAACGGTTCCTCTGTATCTCCCCAGCCGTCAATCGAGTTATTTTTGCGCGCAAGGTATGTTCAATGCATCGATGTTCCTGCCAACGTGTTTTCTGCATTTTGTGCAATTTCAAACGCCCGCTAGCAGTGCCGGTCAAATGGAAACAAGTACCGCAGGCGATGTATCTATAGGAAAGAGCCGTGTTGCCTTCGCGCATAAATATTAATCCATGATATTGCTATTATCCGTATCCACTGTTATCACTCACTTGGAATTCTTTCATGTTGATATTTGCACTACATGACATAATGCTGTGAGAATGCAGTACATGTTTCTATTACGAGATAGTTGAAAACCTATGTGTACGGTAGAGGTTCAGACGGTGCAAAAGGGGAGTTCGCAGCATAAAGCTCGGTTGCCTTCTTTTCCGTGTACAGCCTCGACGTTCTCCGAATCCTCCCGCCTGCGTTGAACAACCCCTCTGAAAAAAAGACGTGAAACTTCTCCAATCTTCTCCCTCACACACAAAATATTTAGCGGTTGGGCTGGGAACTTCATGCTGCATAAGTGAGTGGAGCACCAATTCGTCACCTCAGTTGTATGTCGTCCTTCAAAGCGGTATATTAAACACACCCGTTTTGCTCAAGACGTCGGAAATTAAACTTTAGAGTGTGTCGGAACACAACGAGTCTCGAATACATATCGGTTATTTGCCATACTAACGTTCGACACTTTGGATGGTG